TACGCGAGTCCAGTCGTACTATGTAGGAAAAAGAACGAGTTTCCTCCTTCGGATAAAGGGCTTGGAGGTTTGCTATTGATTACAAAAAACTAAATAGTATTACCAAATTTCCAGTTTACCCTTTGCCGGTTATAGACGAGATCATTAGACAGATCAAATCGACAAGATATATGTCTACTTTGGACTTAACGTCTGGCTACTATCAAATAGCTATGAGAACCGAAGATATACAAAACCGCGCGTTATAACAAAATCGGGCACTTATGCATTTTTTACGCCCTTTGGGTTGTGTGGGCCCCATCAACATTCCAGAGAACTATGGACATTGTTCTAAAGCCTGTCCTAGGAAAATCAACTTTAATATCTAGATGATATAATTATAACGAGTAGTACGTTGGAACACATATTAATGAACAAGTTTTTAAATTATTAAAAGAGGCCGGTCTTACAATTAACGCCTCAAAATGCAAGTTCGCAACTAAGGAACTTAAATATCTCGGTTATAAAATTTCGCAAAAGGGTATAGAAACGCAAGATTCAAAAATAAAAGCTATTAAGAATTTCCCACCGCCCAACACCGCCAAGAAACTTCTTCCTTCCTTGGGTTATGTTCTTACTATCGATCTTTCATAAAAGATTTCGCTAATATTGTTGAACCACTCTTAGTAATCAAAAGAAAAAAGGGTAATTTACGTGGACAGCGGAAGCTAACACAGCTTTTGAAAGATTAAAAGAAGCGCTTATTAATGCCCCTGTTTTAAAATTCCCGGAGGGGGACGAAAACCTGGAAACTTGCAGCAGATGCGTCAGACTATGCGGGTGGGCGCGGTTCTTATGCAAAAAACCACCATCCGCTGGCATTTTTTAGTAAAACGTTGAATCAGACACAAAGGAATTATACAGCTACAGAAAGAGAAACATTAGCCGTATTAATGGCTGTACACAAATTTCGAGTTTATTTCGGCAAATCGCCAGTAACAGTCTTTTCGGATCATGCGCTGTGTTGGTAGACTTTACTCGGGGAAAAACCTAACGCCCAGGTTAATAAGATGGGCTTTAAAACTCCAAGAATATAATATCACAATAAAATATAAACCCGGGTAAGGAAAACAATGTAGCTGACGCACTTTCTCCTATAAAACTGGACGATAAGGAAATGAACTTAAAAATGCGCTGTGTTGACTTAAAAAATTTTAGATTCTAGAGATACGGTTATTACTGAACTGAAAGCTGATCCTGAATTTGGAATATCTATGCTATTTGAAAGACCCCGAAAGCTTTGAGCATACAGATATCGATGCGATAAGAAATAGAGCAAAAAACTATGAAATAATAGATAATTTATATTTTATACGAAAACAACAAACGAAAATCTTGAGTACAAACCAGTCATCCCATCCTCGCTTCGATTAAGCATTTTGAAGGAGTTGCACGAAGCAAAAACAGCGGGCCACCTAGGGGTCAGAAAGACTTTAAAAAGGGTACGCGAGGCGGTATATTTCCCGCAATTATACAAAATAGTAACGGCGTATGTCAGGTCCTGCAATCAATGTCAGTTAAAAATGATATTAATTACAGCCCGGCCGGGTACTTAAATAGCATTCGCGCTACATTTCCGAATGAAATTTTAGGCATAGATCTTGGTGGTCCTTTCCCCAGAGCGAGTTAAAAAATAAAAATCGTTTTCTTTTAGTATATAGTTCTTCAAATTTTCCATGGACAGAAATGGTTCCACTTAAACGCGCGTCAGCCAAAACAGTCGCAGATGCATTCTTACACAGATACATTTTTAAAATACGGTGCACCGATAAAAGTCATTAGAGATAACGGAAAACAATTCATTAGTCAAGTATTTGAAAACATATGCAATGGACTTGGCATACGCCATATCAAAATGGTTCCGTATAGACCACAGGCTAACATAGCAGAAAGAGTTAATAAAATATTAGTAAAAATAATTCGCAGTTTACGTGAGCACACATCACAAGCGCTGGGATGGCTACATAAATGAATTAGCTTATGCTTTAAGAACGGCACATCATGATACTACGGGAAAAACTCCAGCAGAATATTCTTAGGGCGAAAATTAATTACGCCTTTAGATAAATTATTCTTTGTGCAACCAAGAGAGCAGGAGTTTAAACAAAAAGATGTGCAAAGTTGATTGCTTGATCAGGCGCTTAAAACCTCGGATACGGCACGAAATAGGCAGAAAACTATATTACGATAGAAAACGCCGTGAAGCAGATTTTAAAGTTGGGGATAAAGTATTGAAGCGGAAATTTTCTTTATCAAGTGCCCCAGACAATTTTATGGCAAAGCTAGCTCCAAAGTTTGAAGGCCCCTATGTAATTCAGGAAATCAAAGGAGTAGTCTTATATCTTAAGAACGAGAGAGAGGAAATCTATAAAGCAAGTCCCGACCAGGTGAAAAAATACTATAATCCAAATGATTTTGAAATCCTTAAAAGTTTCTTGCAGGACTCAAGTCTAAACGAAGTAGAAGGTCCAGAGACAATAACAACTATTCCACCACCCAAGAAACAGAGAACTGAAGAGAGACCTAGCACTTCTACAACCCGGACGACGGTATCAAAAAGAAAAAATTTTCAAACTCCAGCGTTTAAGAAAAACAAAATACAGATGCACCGGTAAAAGAAACCGTGGTAAAGAGAAAAACACCACCTACAAAGGATGGGAGGAGAAATTTTACATCAAGGAGAACGCGCACACGGCCACAGAGTCAGGCCAGCAGCAAGGCCGCCGTTCCGGAAACTGAAAAAAGGCCAACAGGAGGCACAATACGACGAACAGAAGAAATTCAAAGGACTCCAGACCGGAGGACGTCAAGACCAGCCGTCCAGGAGAACGAAGAAATTGCCAACAACCAGACGACGCCAAGAGGCCAGCATGTAGAGGACGCAAAGTCAGGTCGACACTCGGAGCAGTAAGGAGAAGATTAACCATCCATGAACCTCTAACTTGGGACAAATTTGCCAAAAAACGAATGACGGAGTTTCAAGCATCGAAAACTCAAAGATAAGTTAAAACCTTCTATAAATTTTTTTTTTTCTCCCCCCCCCCCCCCACCCCCCCCCCCCCCCCCCCCCCCCCCCCCTTTTTGTTCCGAAATGTTATGGCATAAGTACGAAGTTCTAATGTTTGACGAAAGTCAATATGTCTCGGTTGAGACTTAGTTTGTTTTACTTTACTTTATTTAGCTAAGGCAAAAGTATTTTTCTTTTAAGTGTAAAAGCTAAAAACAAGCATTTTCTGTTGGTCGAAAGACTAATTCTGTTATGTAAAGCCAAAATTTGGCCGAAGATAAAAATAACTTCGTATTCTTGTACTAATAAGAATTTTAGTTTTCAGTGCCGCCAGCTTGGCGAAGAATGAGTAAAGTAAAAATTTATTTTCTCTTATCATTTTATGGTAAAAAAGCATATGTATTAAAATTTTGTAAATGTACGTAAATACTTGAATGTTATGTAAAAGTAGAATTTAGTCTAGAAGCATAAAATTGTAGATGCTAAAAGTGAATGCTTAAAAGCAATGAAGTCAAAATTTAAGTAGTAAATTGTAGAAAAGTCATTCTTTAGAGCGAAAGCCTGCATGTTTAAAGAGAATGAGGGGGAAGTTTAGAATGAATGTGTTTTTGTAGGGTTCTCCACCTACATTTGAATTTTTAAGAATATAAAGTAGCTCATGAGTTGTAGAATGTCGAGTAAGGTGTGTCATTTGGTCGTTGAATTCTAACAAATCATGGTGGTTAGGGAAGTGTTGTAAGACTAAAACACGAATATTCCCGTTTGACACCACACAAGGTGGAGAGCCAGGGTAAAGTTAAATTAATGCTTGAAAAATTGAATGAATGTGAAGTAAGCAATAACTAAGAAAAACGAATCGTTTAAAAACAAAAATTTATTGTGTCAAGAAAGTGTAACATTATAATGTATGTAGAAAGATACTGATACTATTCCTTCCAGATGCTGGAAGGAAAGACCAAGATTGATTGATGAAGTCCAGGAAAAGTTGCTGTAAGAAGAAAGTTATAACGAGCAACAGAATTTTAGTATATAATTTGTTACATAAGATTTTTGTGTGTAAACGAGGTTCTCGCCAGTTAGTTCAGAATTAGAGAAACTTACAACAGGTCGTTTGTAGGACCTGCTTCCAAGTTTTCCAAATTCTGGCAGCGGCAAATGTAGGGTTTATTTTATTTTAACTAACATTTATTTTAAGTTTAAACTATCTTTCCTGTCAAGCCTTACTTTCCCCTGGAACTCTGCCAATGCCAGAATATGTAAATTTGAGTAGAACGCGCAAGGATTCAAATTATCTGCGGAAGTATTATGATTTAAATAGAAAGGAAACAAGTTCGGTGTGTGTTTCTTACTTCACGAGCGCGGAGGTATTTGCGAGAAATTGAAGAACCCAGCGTTCGGGCCTATGTGCTTGGGGGAAGTAGTGTTAATCGTTCAAGTGAGCTTCAAGTCTGCTGAATTAGCAGCAGTATTGTAAACACGGTGAGTTAGTTTTTTAGATAGCCTCGTAGTTAGAGTCTTGTCTTTTGTTTCTTTTCAGGTTATTATTTTTATTTGACCGCCGAGTATTTGGCGCCGTCTGTAGCGTCGACCCCGTCAATGCGCCGCAATGTTTTTGAATAAAAAGGGACTTAACCCTTTACAAGACTGGTTTAAACCCTTAAACCCAAGACTCTGTGTTTTATCCTGTTTTCACAGTCACCTCTTGGTTGCGTGCAAGTTGGAGGCACGCAACGTTATAGCGTAAAGCCCAGACAACTTCGGGTACATTAGTGTGCCCGGTTAACTCAGGCGACGCTATTGTTAAATGTTAGTATCAACTGCCTGTATATTTAACCTCTGAACACGGCTAAAAAAATACCGTTTATAAAAACTGGTTAAAATAAAGTATTTCATGAATTAAGTTATAATTAAGTTAAAGTTTCATATTTTCTGTTTTTTCCACTTATCTCTGCAGGTGTAAGAGTTTTAAATGGACCTATTACAGATGTGCAAGAGGCTATGGCGCTTGTGCATGCATTAGACCACGTAGACATTTATACTGCTTCGTGGGGACCTGTCGATGATGGTAAAAATATGGGTGCTCCAGAAATTTTAACCAAAATGGCGTTTTTGAAAGGTATTAGTAAGGTAAGGAAAATTTTTTTGGTGATTTTATGACGAGATTACTTGTTGAAAACATTATTCCTTTTGTTCCCGCTATGCTCATTTCTGAATACAATATAACGGTATTATAAAACTCCAGTGATGCAGCTGAAAATAGGTATTGTCACGAAATGTCCAGGCGCGGTAAGATGGCTTCCAAACGTTTTAGGGTTGCCACATTTGGCGATAAAATTGGCGATATGCCATGGACGGAAAGAATGAATTCTTACCTTCTGGAACGAATTCTTACCGGTTTAGTCCAAAATATTCTCGAACACACACAAGCCAAAAACTATATAAACTCTGCTGGTAAGCAGAGAATGAATGCGAGATAGTTAGTCCCGTGTTAGTCAGTCCGTGCGGAGTAAATTGCATTCCATAGCGATCAAAATAGATATTTTTGTTGAAATATGGTACCCGGAATTTTTCGTGATTACAGTACTCACTTTACTTCATACAAGGAACTAAAAATGCGGTTTTTGCTGTTTCAGTGGGTTTGAATTACAAATAACACCTCTCGTGGCTGCCCTTAATGCCACATTCTTAATTTTTTTTTAGATAATTTAATGCCCCATGGCTGGTATTTATCTGTTACAAGTCTTGAAATAATCGTCTCACTTATTCCTTTGCTGTAATTTAAAGAAATTCTAAAAAAATGTGAAAATCATTTTAGCCGTTACTAAAATATTTGTTTTCAATTTATACTGAGAAAAGTAATTTTAAGATTTTTAATTATGTACTTCATTTACTAAATTTTGTTTAGAACTTTTTAATAAATATACTTTTCTTTTGAAAACTATGCTCTTAAATCTGTTTTCCATCAAACGAAAATTTTGAATTTTGCTTTGATTAATAATCTTTAATATTAATAAAACTTTTTTTCTGTTTTCTTCTAAAACAAAGTAAAACAAAAAAATGTAAATTTCGTCCTATCTCAACTAATTTTCCTTACTTGTCATAGCGTAAAAAATCACACATGTGAATAGAATCTACGAACTAGCTTCTATATATAAATTTTATTTTAAAGGAATATAAAATATAAACAAAACAGAATGAAATATTCATTCGAAACATAAATCTTTGAAATAACAAACAAAATTTCATCTTGAAACCTAACTCATCAAATTCTTATTTTTCTTTCCCCTTTTCTTGGATAGCAGGACCGTATAGCATAACAAAACAAAACTAAAAGAGCAAACCAGCAGAAGAATTCCATTTTGAAAACACGACATGCCACCGGAAAACATTTTTAGTCGAAATATATGTTCGGTAGAAACTGAATCAACAAAATATCTGTGAACAAGTGGGTTATGTCAACATCGAAACGACATTTCTCAGCTGCTATAGGCATTATTCGCATTGCAGCAATGGCCTACATCGGTAGCCATTAAATCTGCCAGATGTCGACGTATAATCTGATTTGCAAGTATTTAAAAATGCGTCAGGAACTGCAGTTTTGAAAAAAAAAAAAAAAAAAAAGATGTTGTTTTTTTATGTTCAGAATGTTTATTACAGGTGAAAAGAAGAATTCAAGAATGGTATTAGAAAAGGTATTAATTTTAATACTGTAATATCTCTTCTGGAATCTACACTCGTGTACATAATGGATTAGGTATCACTGGCTCTATTGTCATTTAGAATTATGTGACAAAATGCGTTCGAATACCGCTTCAATTTAAAGCGGGTTTAATTTGTGTCAGAGTCTTCAATTCGAAATTTTTCAAGCCTGAATCTCTTGCATGGTTTGTAAGATAATTTGTGTTTGTTAAATAATAACTAGTGCAACTAACAGTATATAATTTAAATATCGTCTGAGCATTCTAATGTAAAAACATCAGAATCCTCAGATGACATTAAAATTCGTTGGTACTTAGACAATTAATTAATAGAAAAAGATATTCTAACAAAAAAGACCAGTGGGTTATAAGTAAAATATTGCAGTATTGTAATCGATCTTTTCAAATTTTCATTCAATTAAAACCTTCAGATAGCCAAGGTCATTTAGTCATAATTCTAGTAATATTCTAACAAGTCATAATCAGTTATTATATTATAACTGTTTTCGTAAAATAAATTCCTTATTTAAAATAAATTATGCAGTCTCTGTGCATAGGAAGCATGCATACTAGTGCTTGAAAAATGGTAAACTTTCGCTCACTGAATCTTTGAAATTTGAAATTTTAGTCAAAGTATGTAGTTTTCCTTCTCGGGACTTTTCGCAATTTTGTGTTTAAATTTCGCCATCCAATGGATCATTGAACAAGCGTTGTTTCAGATTATTTCATTTATACTGATGCCCTTTCATCCTTGAAGACTCTAAAATGTACAGTCAAAAGTCGTTAATTCAGACACCCATAATCCGGAATGATCTTTAATCTGGACCTCAAAGCTACAAACTTTCTACGCATGCGCGTAAGACCTTTACGGCTGCGCATATGCGTGTGCGCATGCGCAAAATATGTTTACGCAGTGCGCGTTTAATGTACAATGGACAGTATAAGCTAAAATTATCTAATTATCTATTTCAGTTAATGTTGCAGATTGCGTTGTTCCTTAATCTTCAAATTGGATCCGGCTTATTATTTTTTGCAGACTATTAGAGCAATTTTATAAAAGTAAGCTTGAACTTTCGATTATGTCAAATAGAATTTCCGATATATATTTATTAATATGTAAAGGATCTACAAAGCGAAAGTATGTTTCGAAGTTCATTAAACAAAAAGTGGAATTGCTGCAAAAAATGGATAAAGGCATATCCTTTGTTTTATCTAAACATTCCAAAATTGTTTATCTAAATTTCACGCTGCTCTGCGGGGAAATTTAATGCCGGGTGTGCAATGAATTGGAAGTTGATCTGTCAGCACTATCCTTATCTTCAGGGCAGATGTTTTTATTTTATTTGGCTTATAATTCCTTATTAAATGTAGTATTTCATTTCGATGTATATACTCGATGTATCCGTCTTTGATATGATTTAAATCAAATTCCTCGTCATTATAATTCGCTTCCGATAGCGAAGAAAGTGACAGAGGTTATTGAAAACGGAAAAATTTCGATTGACAAATTAGTCAGTATTCTCGACACAGCAATTATAGGACTTGAACATGGAACTTTGTAACTGAACAAGAAATTATGTCTGTTTATAGAATTAAAGAGAATGTATTATCACATAAAAAACGAAGCAACTTAAACAACTTACATTGAAAGAAATGTTTAATAAAGTAAACAAATAAATATTAAGCTTTTTTTTTTTTTTTTTTTTTTTTTTTTTTTGTAAATTTTGATACCCTTTAGATCATAATTGTTCTTTATTTCATAAATTACGGTTTCATATTTTTAATTTTATAATTTCTGCATGCCATCTTACCAGATTTAAACTGATGATCTATAATCCGGAAAAATCGATAATCCGGAATCGCCGAAGTGCCGACGAGTCCGGATTAACGACTTTTGACTGTATTTCATTTTCTAATAACATTCCAAAGACATTAGGTTATTTTGGAAGCTGGAGACCTGAAAAATGATCAATGCCCTAGTCGGGACTCGAACCACGGACCTCTCGAATACGCGTCGAGCGTGCTGATTGTTTCACCACGAAGAATGCTAAAAGGGCAGGAGAAATACCTTATATAGTCCCCCTTTTAAAAAGCGACTGGGGATTAGGAGACCCAATCGCCAAATCCTGGTGGCGGAGAATCATCATCCACCACCTTTTTTAGTTCGGGCACCTCTGTAGAGACATACACCACGAAGGCATGCTAAGAAGGCGGGAGAAATACCTTATAACATAATCGTCGAGACTCAAAGACGGCTTAAAAACCTGAAGAAGCAAACGTAAAAGCCTTTCGGCTGCTTTTACATTTATTCGTGGACATAGGGGTGTTGTTGGTAATGAATGGGCCGAATTTCTTGCAGAAACTGCCACCATCTATAACACATTTTTCAGCAAAATGAAAACGATTTAAAAATTACCCCTGCATTAGTGATTCATTTATTTTCGGCACATAACGTTATCCGTTTATTATTAATGGTAACCTATATAAATGCCGATGACGATATAAATTTTCGGAGAACTGAATGATTTCTTTTAAGCTTTTGGAGTTCAGTTTTTAAACTATGACATTAATAATCACACAACGGCATTTCTTAAAAACGTTCTGCACGTGATGAATAATCAAATTGGAACTGAAAATGTTATTCGTAATCTAATAAATTTTTATTTCAAGCTCAAAATGTAATTAGAGCTGAAATAACAATAGGCTTCTGGAAAATATTCTTGTAAATAATATTCATTCCATAGCAGTAATTATCATTAATAAAATTTCCGAAATTTTTTTCACAAAACTTTATACTTTATATGACTGTTAATTACTATCAATTACTTTAAGCAATAACTAGCTAGACTCTTTTTTTTTTTTTTTTTCTGATCATATCAGTGACTTTTAGATTGTATCGATTATTGGAAGCGCTTATTTGTACTGGACTTACAATTTCGCTTTTCAGGGCAGACAAGGCAAAGGTGCTATCTATGTGTGGGCTGCAGGGAATGGAGGTCGCTACCAAGACAACTGCAACCTCGATGGCTACGCTTCCAGCCCATTTACTGTGACCATCGGTGCCCTCGCAGCAGATGGACGAAGTACCTATTATTCGGAGCCTTGTGCTGCCGTCATAGCCTCTACTTATGTAGGAGGCTCTCATATTTTTCCTAATGCGAAGCAGATACAAGAAGAAAGACGAAAAATCAAAGTGGTAGGTAACAACTGCAAGTTCGGAAGTATTATGCGTTTTTATCACTTATGACATTGTATGAAAGCTCACTTAAAGTGAAAAACTGACCACACAGTCGAAATTTCAGACTTTGAAAACTAAAATGACAAGAATATTAGCATTTAACAAAGGAATGCTGTATAGCAGCGTTTCTCAATCTGTGTCTGCGGACCACAATTGGCCTTTCTATATTTCTTAAAAAAGACAAAAAATAAAATTTAGTTTAACTCCTCATACCACGCTTTAGGGAAATTCTGAAAAGCTTGGAAATTACGCATGGCAATCGTCTATCACTTTTTCTCTATATATCCTAGCTGTCCCCCCCTTTTTTTCGCAGTGTACCTATAAACTTCTCACTCTAGTCTTAGCAGCAAAAGAGCGATTTAAAGTACTATGGTTGTGGTGCTTCTCGCCATCGTTTCGCTGCACTTGTGGAGCCGCTGAGCTCATTCCCAATAAAAACGGAATATAGTAAACTGTATAACTGTGCTTAATTACAATTCGGTTTGCTTCTACTTATCTGGTGTGATAAACGCTTTTCATCAACAAAAACAAAATTACTGAAATGGTTTTGATGTATATACCTTTCTGAGACTTAAGCTTACCAGCATGCATCGGAATAGGAATCGGAATGCTCATCGGTCTTATTAATGTGAATACCAATATTTATTTAACTTTTAGTTGATTTATTTAATTTACGTATATACAAAATTTATTTAATTTTGATTCGAACTCTAATATTCTTAATTATTAAAAACGAATACGAATTTTCTCCTATTAACTAAATTATTTAATATCGATATAATATTAAACGAATTTCAATTAATTAATTGTATTTTTAATGTCCTGTTAGTAACATTATGAGGTATTTTCTTCCTCCTTCCTTCGGAGATTTCGTTTCCCATAACCAGAGAAAGCACATTATTTTTTCACTGCGTGACGCCATTTTGTCAGTAAATAAACAAGTTCCCTGTTGTCATTCTCAAAACTTAAAACAAGTGATAGTCTTTGAACTAAAGATTATATCAATATTAATTATTTCTGGTTACTTCGTAAAATTACGTTTCAATTTAATTTTGTTATGTGGTGTTTAAATTATGGAACACCCTGTGTATTTATTTCATCTCGAAACGTAAAATGAAATGCTAATAAAAGCGACCTCATTTGAATAAGAACAGAAAAGCACTATTGTTACATTTAATATACAGTAATCGCCTTTTTAATTAAGGGTAAAAAAACATTCTATGCTCTTTGTATTATGGAACACTTTATATCTTCAACTATAGCATTGCTTAACGTTGTTCATCGTCGACAGTTTCCATTCCGCTTAAAAGGATCTGCAAATATGGTTTTTCTTTCTAATAGAATTTGTCTCCGAATACAAAGATTTCTGCTAAACAATTTACTAAAGTATGAACGAACTTCATATTCCTTCCGACCCGTCAGCATCTGTGTACTGCTAGGCGGGAAACGTGTACGATGTAAATAGGGCGTGGTAAGGAATATTCAAATCAAGTCATTGCTTCGATGAGTCCATCAAATATCTTACGCTACTATTATTCTCCACTCACAGCAAAATTTACATGGCATTCCTTACGCATTGCTTGCGAATTCTTGTTCTCTGAAGTTCGAAAACCAAGTTTTCATGACGTATTTTTATCCCAGATTCTAGAACCTTTCGGCTTATATATTTTTGGCATTTTCCAGTCTGTTACGTGAGTCATTTAACACTAGAAAATGATTCATTTAAGAACTTTTTACAAGTCAGTTTTACTTTCGTACTTTACTATAATAAATAAATCATAAACCAAATATGTGATAGCAAGGGAGAAATTCTTCTTTTATTAAGATAATCAATATAGGTATTTTATAATTTTCGAAGCTTTTTTTTTTTTTTTTTTTTTTTTTTTTTTTTTTTTTTTTTTACTTTAATTCTGAATATAGAATTTTCAAGTTCGGGTAGTCGACTTTTAACTCTACAGAATAATTCAGAAGTTGTCCTCACCCAGAATTAAAAAAATTGTGGAACGTCTAAAATGGACAGTAATGGGAAAATGTTTCAATAAATGACACCCTATACTGTTGTAAGTAGTAGTATACCACTGTGAAGTTTATGCTGTAAGTTTAAATCATTGTTTTGTGGTGCAAGATTGAGATGAGTTTTTTCCTAGCAGAATGAATTTTTATGACTGAGGAAGCCATTCTTACGGAAGAGATTTGAAGCGCTCGAAAGGACTTTCAACGATATTCGTGAACCTGTCACAAATAACAATTTTCCGTTTGGTAACCTGATTTTGAGAAGCTGGAAGAGTTCTTCATAAGAAATGAAGGGCAACCCATGTCTTCATCCAAAAAAAATCAGAAAGATGACATCGTAACGAAATGTATACGTTACGAAGTAATTCACAATCATAAAATTTCGTTCTGTTCCGGAAAATAACATCTCCATCTTAATCATCATCATCCATCGTTGTAAAGCTGACAACATAAACTGCAATTGAAATTTCAAGTGATATATTACTTATAACAGTACAGGGTAATATTTACTGAACACGTTTTCCATTAATTACCACTTTGAATTCCCACAATTTTTGAAAATTTGATGAGCGCGATTTTACGATTTGTATAGAAATCTCTAATTTTGAAATTCGATACAGTTTTAATATTTTATTGCAAAATTACTTTATACATAGGTTCTATAGACATTTTAAAAACATTTTTTTCAAAAAATGTAGACAAACATTACATTCAATTCTTTCAAAAATTTACTCTAATTTAATTATTTATGTGTAAAATTGCTAGATTGTTTATCAAAATTCCGAAAGAGTAGTAGTAATTTTATATTCATCTGTGGTATAAAACTGATTATATTAAGTACAACGAAGCATCAAAAACAACGCTTTCGTAAATGATAAAAATTTTCATTATCACGTCAAAGAACTATAGTTAGCTACGTTTGTTTCGACGAGAATAAATCATTAGAAACTGCAAAATCTTTGAACGTAAGTAACAAATATTAAATTCAACAATATAAAAGAGCATCCCTCTTGCTTTTCACAAACATAATCGAGATTATATTTCGAGAATTTGAATATAATATAATAAAATTTCAACAAATCTTCCATAAAATTAACATTAACAGAAAATGTTTACCACCAAATTAACACTTAAATAACAGGAATCCTGATTCGCTAAATTGCAATTAGACATTTAATATAAAGTTCAGAGTTTTGTAGACTCTATTTAGTCTCCAAAAGAAAAAGAAAGTAAAGATAAGAGTTCGGGTTGGAATGTGAGCGCAGAAACAGGATAGGTTCGAGAGTCTCCCATCCCTCTTCCCATACCATCAACCTCTCGAGAGGACTTTCGGCACACCGCATATTTAGGGTGCCTCCATGCCGCACAGATATTATGCATTTACAATTATCCATGCCTCCACTTGGATTCGAAACCAGACCCTTTGGTACGGCAGTCAGAGTCGCTAACCACTCTCCCGGTTGGGCGAGAGACTTTTTGTTGTAAATTAAAATAGATGAACAGAAGGCAAACTTATGTTTACAAATCCACCAGCATTTACGGAGAGAAGTCAAAATAGAAATTCAAATGCAAAGTAATTTAAATACCTTATAGCCAAAGTCTACACAGAGCAATGTAACTGCGAAGTTTGAATTTGGCTTAGATTTCACCGGCGCGACTTTAACTATCGGCAAGTATAATGTGGAAAGCCGAAGTCTAGAACATTTATCTTCGAATAAGAACCCAGTAGCGTGTCCTTCAAGAGGCAGAACACACTCTGTCTTAACAATCTCAAACCGCGAGCTAATTTGCATTCTGGTGGGGGGGGGACCGAAAGAAAGACGTGGCAGTAAAGATTCAAAACATAAAGTAACTGGTTAAATAAATTAAATAAATCTCACAACTTATGCTACAGATACTTACTTACTTCTCTTACAGATTCTTCGAAAACTTTAGATAAAATTGAGTAGTTTTTTTATTGTAAATGGTGTAGACTTTTCTTCCGAGACTAGATTCTAAGTTATTGAACACGGCAAAGCATATGAGGATTATCTGACTATCTTCGTGGAAGACTTTTCTAAGGACTTTCTTCTTCGCATTCACGTTACACATTGGGAAACCTTGAAAACCAACCATGCAACGAGGTCGTTTGCCAGGGATCGAATCGAAGCCAAACTTCCAGTATTCAGCGTTTTTAATCACTCGGTCACTGACGGGGCTTTCATAGCAGACAACTGGCATGTTTTAAAATTAAGCAATAATATTTTTTTATATTCTCTGAAATATTCTTAGGTTATTTTTATTGGGAGTTTTGATTCATAATGTCATAGTTTGTGATGGATTTACAAAATTTATACTGTTATATTTAATTAGAATTATTTGGATTGAATCTGTTGAGCAGGATCAGATTCAAAAGGCTGAAGCTATTTTAAAATATTTTTACTAAAAATGCCAGACGTGAAAAATTTTACCTTGACGACTTGATGTAATGGGGTATGTCCTCACAAAAGGTTTTAGTTTTCAAACTTTATTTATAAACTAAACCCAGTGGCGACCTAACCTTAGTGGGCCACGGTCAGCAGTGTCCCGAAATCTGCTTTCTTAACCGTGGGCCCGGGCTGCGTAGGCATATGCCCTAACAAGTCGTCAGCTTATCGCAGGACCCCCAGTGTTTAGTCCCGAAGCGAGCTTGGTACTCATTTTATCGACCCAAGGGATGGAAATCAAGGGATGAAAGGCTGAGTCGACCTCGCCCAGCCCGGGGATCGAACACCGGACCCGTGGTGCTGCTGCACGATGCGCTAGCCAGTGCGCCACCGGGCTTCAAACTTTATTTATTTAAGCTAGAAATATGTTCTCTGAGTACAAATATATAGGTAAAAAAACTGGCAACGTGGGATGACGGATGAAAGATCGTATGCATAGTAAAGTTTGCAATAGTTGCTAATGGCTGTTAAATATCCTAGTAGCGTATTGCTAAGTAAACGACCGCAGAAATTTAGAAAAGCGACTTGAGGAAACTGAGAAGATCCTAATGTCAAAAATAATTAGAACATTTAACAGAATATAATATTATGCGTGAATAATTTACTAAAAGAATACAAAATACAATAATTTAGTCAAAGCTTTATGTCGCAATAAATTAGGATATTCTAATAATATTTCTTCTGAGTGTTTAAAATAGCTTTAGAGAGATATTGTAAGGTGCTCATAGAAGAATAAAAAGATAATCTTTCACTTAATCCTCTTTGGAATAAACTAAATCTCCGACTGCCAATCTATATTACTTTCGTCTAAACTTTAGTAGCAGTTTTCTTATCTTATTATTGAAAGCATTACTTGCAGTTTATTTACGATTAAAAAAAACTGTTCACTGATTTTTATTATTATTTACTGTTTATTCATAAATTTTGTCTGCAGGTTTATTTTCTGTTATTCTTCTCTTCAATAATACAATGTAAAATTATTTTGTATTCGAATTTTTACTTAGATGTCACTGCTTGTTAATTATGCCCAAAATAAGTAACCCGAAATTATTCAAAGCTTTAAATTTTACATCAAAGAACAACCTCAAAATAATGAACCTTTTTTTTGTTACTCTCTTTGTGTTCTTATCTTCTTCTATTGTTCCCGTACTGTTTCAAGATGTCGACCAATTAAATATTCCAACACTTGGCTCGCCATTTGATTTTTTGTTTCCTCTTTTAGGTTGTTCCGGAAGGAAGAGGGAAATGCAGAGAAACATTTCAGGGTACTTCCGCAGCTGCTCCTATGGCGGCAGGAGTGATAGCTCTCGTGCTACAAGCTAAGTAAATTATATTTAGAATTATTTTTTGTTATACTTTTGGTTATTTCACGCGTGGAAAATGACATCATTCATTATTTTGTATATGTGGCATTCTTGATTATTAGATAATGAAATCACCAACAAATTATTGCATTGTACAATTACACTGCCGCCAATATATTATATTATAGATGTGCGACATTTTATAAAAAATAATTCCGACATTGTGGTTTGACAGAGTTTGGAGAAAGTGGAGAATTTTGATATCGTTCTTTTGAAACAAAATATCCCAATCATTTTTCTTTAATTACTTAAAGACAAAAATTTTCCTATCGTCACTTTTAGCGAAATTCCGGGAACACAACAACGACGATGTGGTTCAAAATTAAAACTGTGTAAAAATATTAATATTTAGATTTTTTATATTGTTACGAATTTGGTATTTAAAAAGCTAATGTTAGTTCAATTATAAATTAAATGGTTTTATTTCTCGCGCAGTGCAGCGCGTGACGAATATTAAAAGAAAGCTAAGCCGGAAAATTGAAAATACAAGAGCGCGTGCATTAAATAAATAAATATGTCTTTTTGATTTCTAGAAAGTACTGGAAAATTCTCGCACGCGATTTTAAAATCTTATAAAAGGAGGAAAACATCTCAGTTCGTAGTTGTTGCTTAGTTTGTTGTTGTTTAGAAAACTGCTCTTGTTGATTGTAGCGAACTCGCGGATTAGCTTTCTTTAGCTGTTTTGAATTACGTTCTATTGGACATTTTAAGTAGTTAAAAGATAACAACTGTGAATTTGTAATACTGCACGATTATTTGAGGACATTTAATCATATTGTTGTGATAATAATAAATTTTTGTTCATTTCTCATCGGAATTGTGCATTCATTTCGTAACGAACCTGTACGCACTCAACAATTTTTTTGGTGTCAGAAGTGGGATTTGAATGCCAATAACAAGAGGGATGGAAGAACAATTGAGACAGCTCATTACTGCTTTTGCTGCGTTCCAAGAAAAGATGGAAGCTGGGCAAACATCTTTTAAAGAAGAAATTAAAGAGAAAATAGATGCTGTTCAAAAATCCGTTAAGGAAGAGATGAAATCCCTGAAAGATGACATGAATTCTGGTCAGAAAAAGTTGGAAGATGGTCAAGTAACTTTTAAAGAAGACATAAAAGCTGTACAAGAAAAGATTGAAGCAGGTCAAGACGAAATGAAAAGAGAAATAACCTACGTAATAGAAAGTAAATTTGAGGCTATGGAAGACATATGAGCTGTCGAAAATAAAGTCGGACAAATTGAAGAAAAGGTTTCTTCTGTCAAAGATGAAATAGAAGATAGAGTGTCGGCTGTGGAACAACGAGTCGAAGGAAGAGTTTCGGCCTTCCAACAACAAATTGAAGAAAGAGTTTCTGCCGTCCAAGGACATATTCAACACCAAATCGAAAAACAAATTGATGATAGAGTTTCTGCGGTCACCAAAGAAGTTGATGATTTAAAGAAATTCGTAGCGACGGCAGGGAGCAATTCGGATGGTTTTAAATTTTCTACCCATGCCTGCTCGTCCCTCTCTGAAGTTAATCACTATGATGGGAAGACCTCCTGGCAGGTGTATAAGACACAATTTTCTATAGTTGCGGATGCGAATGGATGGGATGTCCCAAGACTAAGGCCTGTCATCTCGCCGCTTCTCTGAGAGCAGACGCAGCGGATATCCTGCAGACGCTTCCCGAAAACCAAAGACTTAGATCTTCGAAGCTCTATCCGGCGCACTGGAGCTGCGCTTGGGGCGAGAAATGTTTAAAAGACTACAGCAGGCTTCAATTAAAATCTCGTCAACAGAAGCCCAACCGAAATCACTCCAGGAAGCTCGCCACGGATGTTGAAAGGCTGTCCCACTTCGCCTTTCGGAGTGACCCGACAGAAACATGGGAAATCCTTGTAGCTTCAATATTTCATCGATGGCATCCGGGACCCTGAAATACAGAAAGCACTGCGAATGGCGGATGTGTTAAAGATTTGAAAAGCGCTTTAGTTGTACGCCATGAAATTCGAGGCAGCCCAGCAAGCAACTCGTAGAGATCGCCACCCAGTCAGAGCTGCTCAAGTCCAGGAGCCAGGGGATCACGTCACCGCTCGATTAGACGATTTAACTAGACAAACTGAACGCCTTGAGATGGAATATTGGTGAGAAGAAACCGACCGTTAAGTGCTGGAACTGCGGTGCTGAAGGACACATTCGACGAAACTGCAGAATACCCCCAGAGTACGGATGTTAAGACCGCTTTTAACAAACAGCAGGGAAACTAATTAGTGGCCATCTCGCGGGGCGGAGGTTGCCAGATAATGAAAAGCCCCAGTTTAAAGCGCTTCAGATTTCTGCAGTGAGAGGCGGCAGTAAGCATTTTCATAATAAGACATATTAATAGAGTTCCCCTGCAATATGACGAAGATACAGGAGCAACGTTACCATCATCGAGAAGATTTGGCTCAACAACTGGGAAGCAAACTTATCTGGACGCCGCCCTGCGTTACCCTACAGACTGTGTCCGGTGAAAGATCGACATCGATGGAAAAGTAAATGTTAACATCACGTTTGGAAGTGCCGCCTTACCATCACAAACGGCATATGTAGCAGAGATCACTGATTCTTGCATACTCGGATTGGACTTTCTAAGGAAATACAATTTTTCCTTGGACTTTAAAAACTAACGAATTGCATTCTACATCTGAGGACATAGCGTTGTTGGAGGTAATGATGAAAAAGTTAAATCTGTCCATAAAATCATAGCACAAGACAATATCACAATACCCGGCAAGAACAGAAATTTTACTTCCTGGATCCATAGCCGAAAACAGAAATTTCCGCTACGGCATCATAGAATATCCCAATAACTGTAATAGCCCAAAAGGAGTACTAGTAGCCTCAACACTCGTCGACCTATCCAGAACGGTTATCCCGGTGAGAGTCGCCAATGTAACTTGAAAGAAAGAGTAACATCCAAGAATCCATGTCTTCAGAAAGCATTACATCAGAGTTACTTCAGAATGCGCAATTAAACGATGAAGACAAGAATGCAACCGATCGCGTCATTAAAGATCTTCAAGTTGTTTTCTCCCGCTTGTCTTCTGACGTGTGTCGAACCAGTTTGACACAACATAGAATCGATACCGGCGATCATCCCCCGATCAAGCAAAATCCAAGACGTCTACCGTTTGCTAACACTGTTGGTGCGAACACTGTTAAAAGATATGGAAGAAGGCGATGTCATCGAGCCTTCAGTAAGTCCATGGGCATCTCCCATCGTCCTAGTCAGAAAGAAAGACTGCTCAAGAAGATTTTGCGTCGACTATCGCCGGTTGAATGAGGTTACGAAGAAAGACAGTTACCCTCTTCCTAAAATTGACGACATTCTAGACACTCTTTCTGGAAGCAAGTGGTTCTTAACACTTGATTTAAAGAGTGCGTATTGGCAGGTAGAAATACAGCCTGAAGACCGAGAAAAGACGGCATTTACTACGGGACAAGAGCTTTGGCAATTCAAGGTGATGCCGTTTGGACTGTGTAATGCGCCGGCAACACTCGAACGTATTATGGAGACTGTTTTGAAAGGCCTTTCCTACGAAGCCTGCCTGATATACCTGGACGACATCATCATCGTCGGAAAGAGTTTTTGAAGAACATTTAGAAAATCTTAGGAAGGTGCTTCAGAAACTGAAAGAAGCCAATCTGAAGCTGAGTCCCGCTAAATGCAAATTGTTCCTAAAGGAAGTGACTTACCTGGGACATGTCATCTCTGCAGAAGGTGTGCGCACGGATCCTGAAAAGGTATCAGCGGTTAAATCCTGGAAACGTCCCGAAAATGTCCATCAGCTGAGAAGCTTCCTAGGGCTTTGCACCTCACGCCTGACACCAAAAATTGTTGCGTGCGTACAGGTTCGTTACGAAATGAATGCACAATTCCGATAAAAATGAAACAAAAATTTATTATTCACACAAATATGATTAAATGTCCTCAATAATCGTGCAGTATACAATATCTCACAGTAGTTATTTTTTAACTACTTAAAATGTCCAATAGAACGTAATTCAAAACAGTAAAGAAAGCAATCCGCGAATTCGCTACAATCAACAAGAGCAGTTTCTAACAACAACAACTAAGCAACAACTACGAACTGAGATGTTTTCCTCCTTTATAAGATTTTAAAAATCGCGTGCGAGAATTTTCCAGTACTTTCTAAAATCAAAAGACATATTTATTTTTAATGCACGCGCTCTGGTTTTTCAACTTTCCCGGCTTAGCTTTCTTTAATATTCGTCACGCGCTGCACTGCGCGAGAAATAAAACCATTTAATTTATAATTGAACTAACATTAGCTTTTTAAATACCAAATTCGTAACAATATATAACAAAACAAATATAAATTCCTTGCTTACTATCCTTGCATCCACTAATAACGGGAAGATAACAACGTATACACATGTCATTTTGCCAAGGTATTGAGCCAACAGCATTAAAATAATTGCAAAATATATTTTGTATATACACGGAATTTGAAAGCAAATGTCTCTTTCGCCAATGAGCGATAACTTATTCCTGTTTGGCTTTCAAGACTGTTTACGAAGTGAAGATGCTAATCCGGTTTCGCGGAACCGCAGTTCAGAGAATTGTTTCTTTCGACGTTGTGTTCCGGCAACAAATAGCGTATGTGATAGGCGTTTAAGATGAGTGTCGTGAGCCCAACGTTCTAATATAAACGCCCTAAGTATGGGCCTATAGGATGCTTTTTGAAAATCTTATGTAGACAGTGATCTTCCACTTGTTTTGAAAGTCATGAGTGTGCAAAATTTCATCGAGATCGGAGTAAAACTGTAGATTTGTATGAATTACGCACAAATAAACGGACACTGTTCTTTATATACATATATGATTTTAATGAATTCAGCTAACGTCATTTCATAAGCCCAGTTAGTAATTAGTAATAACTGAAATGAATCTGAGTTTATTGCTTTTAAGTCGCTTTGTTTGTTAATTAATAACATATTTGACAGAAAAATTAAAAACCGCAGCACATATGATAAAAATATTTTAATTCGGGCAGTAATTAATATATCTTTTGAATCACTGAATTTGTTTATGAAATTTAAAAGACAAATATACTGCTAATTGTAACACACTTCTTTTATACCGCCGAGTTATGTGATTAAATTTTAAACATATATATCTTACGCTTTTCAGAAATGCTTTATACTATACATTTTATCGACATTGTTGTTATATAAGTATATTTTTTATTTATCTATGCAAGGAATGTGACAGTTATATGCACATTTCTGAAAGAGAAACTTTAAACATAAATAGTTGAAAACCATTATTCTAAATGATTAGATATGCAGCTACTTTCTTTTACAAACTCATTTGATTTTGGACCATTTTTAGAAAATTCTTCATCTTATTTTAGGAAATTCTGTTGTTGGAAATACTCACTTGGAATCTGCATTTAAGGAAAGAAAGCACGTAGTCACCCTTTAAGAGACTCTATATTCTCGAAGTATTACAGAAAATGTTCCTTGATGTAAATTTCCATCATTACTAAAAGCTTTCCCAGCTTTCAATCTTGTGAACCTAATGTCCCTTAAAAACATTTTGCGGAAGAAAACATTTCGCAACGTGTTTTTAATGGGCACCAGGTGCGTCCAGATTCTATTTACGGGAAGCGATTGATCGATGAATGTACTCACGTATAACTGAATGCTTGTATAAAAGAGTAAGAAAAGACAGCCCATTTTTAATTATTTCTAATTTTTCGAAGTATATTATTTCATATCTAGTACTTTTTAAGAGATTTCAGAAAGGTAACATTTGAAATATTCAAACAATGATCATAGAATGAATATAAAGTAAACAACGGACGTACATTATTTTATGTCAATTAAAAGAGACGCAATCAGTTAAGAAATAGTCTTTATATTTTTAAAAATCTGAACACAGGAAGAACGAGGAATTTTATCTTTAAATTTCATCTTAGACGAATCTATAAGAATTTGCTTAAAAGGATTGGGTTGAATAATAAGCGTATTTTGATTATTTGTTGAAGATAGTTTTCTAAAATTTATGTCTGGTAAATTAACACCGATTCAGGCACCGTTTGTGATTTTATATTCTAGTTTACCTTTGAAAATATCTGCTAGCTATTACATGCTAATGCAGACTACAAAGCAAGACCAACCTTCATCATAATATGCTACAGTCGGAAATAAGTAAAGAGTATCTTAACTTATTTCCGATTGAAAACAATAATTTGCTTTTACTTTATTTTCGCGTAATTTTGGGTTCGGTTGAATGAAAAATGCAGTTTAGGTTAAATTTAAACATTTTAGTTTCGTTTAGATTTCATTTGGAATTAATATATTCAATAATATTAGTTTCTTCTAAAGCAGATAAAAAGTTATACAAATGCTTTACTTCGAGGTGCATATATCTTGAGACAACTGACCTCGAAGACTTTAATTAACAGAGATTTTTGAACTTTCAAAGTAAAGAATTAATAGCAATGCTGGATTTCGTAATATTATCTATCATACGTTAAAATCTGTAATTAAATAACAATGTTAAAACATTTTGTGTGAAAGTAACATTCAGTAATAGCAAAATTATTGTATGTCATTTTCCTTTGAGAGCTGTAGTCGCTTTAAAATGATTTAATTTAGAAATAAAATCTTACTTTCAAAAAAATAAAAGAAAATGAACTAAAGAGCTCAACATATGTCTTAAAATATAAAACGCAAAAGTACTACTTTTTTTTTCTTTTAGAAAAGAAAAAGACGCATGCATTATAAAATTTCGAACACTAGTTTTCATAAAAAATAAGCTAAGCGGCAGAAAGGCTGTCCACTTATGGTAAGGGATGGTTTCGTGAAGGAACTTTTGAGGGAAACTGGATGTTATCCATATTGCACATGGAGAAAACCACGAAAACTCCCATGCAGCCAGCCAATTCGCCTGAAATTTAACTCAGGTCAATGATACAACAGCAACGAAAGCAGGAGACTCGAGGTTAGAAACCCGTTCGGTATTCACTATAGTCCAGTACTCAGCAATTATTCAGTAGTAAAAAGGACGACAACAAACAATCATAATTCATTTCACTCCAGATTTTAAAAGAATAAAATTATGAAGAAAAAAAAATTAATTTGTTTTGGTTTATTATACCAAAGCACACTAAGGCTATCTGCCTAAGGCGAGGGATCCCTGCGTAGGGGACTTTATAAGGGAAACTGGCTCGTATACATGCTACACATGGGGAAAACCATGAAAAGGGACACGCAGCTAACCTTTCGCTTGGATTCAACCGCAGGTCGGAACTTCCAGCGTTCAGCGATTTTACCGCTCGGCCTCTGATGGGCCCGAAAAAAATTGATTTAATGTAATACTTTATTTAATTCTTAAAGCGATATATTTTATACTGATACAATTAAGATCATATTGATATTTCATAAATAATACTTTTTGACGTTTTATATATTTAAGGTATAAAGTTCTTAATAATGTTTAATTACATGAGTTCAGGTTTTGATATGATATAAACACAATTAAATTTTGTGGTTAATTTATAATCCCTTGAATAAACTATTAATGATTGAAACTTATTGAATTATTAATTATTACTCATTCGTTATTCTCTCATATTTTTCCCCTTTGATTTTTATTTGTTCATTTCAGAGAAAGATAATTAATTTTTCTTCGGATAAATATATCACGTTTTTATCTTCTTCTTGTTGTTTTGATATACATACAATTAAATTTTGTCTTTAATGTATAATCCCCTGAATAAACTATTAATGACTGAAATTTATTGAATTATTGATTATTATTCATTCATTATTCTCTGATATTTTTTCCGTTGATTTTTATTTGTACAGAAATGTTCATTCCAAAGAAAGATAATTTTGCTTTGGATAAGTATATCACGTTTTTATCTTGCTGTTGTTAATTATTACTCATTCGTTATTCTCTCATATTTTTTCCGTTGATTTTTATTTGTACAGAAATGGTCATTCCATGGAAAGATAACTAATTTTTCTTGGAATAAGTATATCACGTCTTTACCTTGTTGTTGTTGTTTTGATATACATACAATTAATTTTGTCTTTAATTTATAATCCTCTGAATAAACTATTAATGACTGAAATTTATTGAATTATTAATTATTATTCATTCGTTATTCTCTCATATTTTTTCCTTTTTTAATTTATTTTTATTTGCAAATAAATGTTCATTCCAGAGAAAGATAAATTATTTTTCATTGGATAAGTATATCACGTTTTATCTTGTTGTTGTTGTTTTGCCTAATCTCGCTTGTCTGATCCTTTTTATCTTAAAATCAGTAACTAAACAGCTGAAGCTCCAATAAAACATGTTTTTATTTTTTTGCACTTTTAGTCCAAACCTCAGCTGGCGTGACATTCAGCACATCATTGTGGAAACAGCCCGCCTTCCCGCACTAAGAGAAGACGGATGGATGATAAATGCAGCAAAAAAACATATCCATTTGAAAGTCGGGTTTGGGATTCTGGATGCGGAAAAAATGGTCAAAGCAGCGAATGAATGGCAGCCTGTTAAACCGCTTCACATTTGGGCATCTCCACCGTACACATCCCCGAAGTAAGACCTTTTTTGTTGAGTGCCTGCTGTTCAAACAATAAACAGTAACTCGGGAATGAAATGAATAAAAATTTGCTGCAGAATGTACAAATAATCCACTCGCACAAATATCGAATATCGCCCAGTTAAACATCCGTTTTAAGATCGTGCATTTTTATTCCTGTAGATATTCGTTGATATTTAAACAAAGTTTTTGTGTATTATTTCATTCACATATATACTTTTAAGTTATTTCAGTAATATATCAGTTCAGCTTCACACTTAAATTATCTGTCTTAAATTGGATGGTTTTCATGGAGAAATGTTACGGCATGCCAATGCATATACAAAATACATTTTGCTGCAATATGCTATTAAAAATAATCATCTTGGACAGAGTTTCTTACACTTGAAAGGTTTCTTAAATGTTTATTAGCCCCAAAGGGAAGCTATACGTTTCGAAAACGCAGTTTACATTGAATCACTTAAATGCGATGTATCACTTTTCAGATTGTTGCCACCAAATATTATCGCCATGCATTATATTTAAAGACACTTAATATTGAAGAATTTTCATGAATGTATGTATACTTCTCGGAATGTGAAAAGAAAGGGTATCTTGAACCATCAAATTTTGGATAATGTAGTCCTCCACCCCAATATGGGCATCAGGAAGCTCGAATTTAGAATATTTTTATTGTCTGTTTTATATTTCGTAAAACTTTAGCGACTTTTTGATTAAAAAACTCAACAACTTTAAAGTGAGTAGTGGCAACACTGTAGGGAATAAAACATTTTTATTTCCAGCGCGCGAGACGGTGTATGGGAAATTCTAATAATATCCTGTTTTTAAATATTTTTAGCTCAAAGTGGCGTTAGCCCAAATGCTTTCGAAACGTATATGTGACTGTAAATGAAAAAAAAAAAAATGCCCGTTTGGGAAAATTTTTTTTTATTGTTTTGATACCGCTCAAACCATATCTGAAACACCTTTGGTTCCCAAAATGTCGTCTTATGAGCATTGCTCATAAGACGACAAAATTAGCCATTGAGAAACAATGCAAACCTTGCACACACAATAAAGAGGACAATTCTATATCTTCCGTCCTGCTGGACCGATTGTCGAAATTTAACTTGCATTTTCCATCATGTCTCGAAAGTGCGACTTGATATATATTAGATTTGTGTATAGCATCATTCTCTAACATAGGTATTTTGATACAATCGCACTTTGTTATGAAATAAAGTACCAATTTTTTCCAACTTTCGATTCTACGAGTCAAATTATGCCAAAGTGCCAAGTTTTGTAAAATTCGCACGACTACTTTTTAAAATATTATCTCTCAAAATTTTAGCTCCTCAATGTTAATTGAACTTGGTATATATTTATTAATATCTCTTTTTTCATTAAACTTTATGATTCTTTCTTCCTTTCACATTTCGAACAAAACAAAATTCGACCATTTTTTTATGATTTATTTTTAAATAATTTTTATAAATTTTTTGGAAAAAAAGTTTGAATTATAACCTATAAAATTTTTACCATCATTTCAAAGTAGATCTATTTCTGAGCATACCTGCAAAAAAAATTAGTTTTTAATTCAAAATTTCCTAAGATATACGTAAATTTACATTTTGGCATATTCGTTATAAGCGATAATAACGCCAAATGTCGTATACTCACTTTGTTGAAATTATTTGAAAGTATGAATAATGACCTTTTTTCTCCTCGTGTGCAATGAAAAAAACGAAAGGAAAATAGGTTGCTATAAATTAAGAAGTTCGCCAAATGAATTATTCTTGGCGCAAACTGAAAAAGTAAGCCAGGATAAATTTTTAAATTTATCGAATAAAATTCTCGAAAATTACAAAATTTAATGTCTAGGCATCATTTCAGTCGTAGAATCGAAACATGGAAAGAAACTGGTATGTTATTTCCGAAAAAGTCCAATTTTGTGTCCAAATACTTATGTTAGAACAATGATATATATAAATCTAGTGTGTATCCTAAGTCGCTCTTTCAAGAGATGGAAAACGCAAGTTAAATTTCGAAAACCGCTCCAATAGAACGAGAGATATAGAACTGCAGGGTGTACATCTCAGTGCAAGTAGAAGCGTATTCAGTATCACGCAAGTCTTACAAGAGAAATCGTACACTTTTGATTTCTGGAAATAATACCAAAATATTTAGATGCATTAAGTTTAAACTATTAAATGTGTTTTCTATTGGATTATATACTAGTTACATGCAGTGTTTCTTGCAATAAAGATTTTTCATGAAAACGAAACGTAAATAGCTTACACTTTATATCTTCTTTTTGAGGGGATGAATCATGTCATAAAAATAATCGAAAACTTATAATTCTGTAAAATAAAAATATATAAAAAAAATCTTGTTATTTTTAATGCTTTATTGATTTATTATTAGCTTTCAAAATTTTTTTAATTTTTTAGAATGAATTGGATTTCTATTTATATTTATAGCCTAATTTTACACCACACGTCTTGCATTACTAATTTCAATTGCTGATTTGAAGTAATGTTTTATGTCTTTCCAAGTATGTTTGCGAAAGTTTAGATCTGGACACTCAAGAGAAATTTTGTTATATTGTAGAGTCATTATTTTTTTTTCTTTTTTTAATCAGGAGAAGTGAAAAATGAGCGACGCCTTCGCCAGGAATCGAACCAAGGACCTCTGGAATACGCGCCCAACGTGCAGACCACTACACTACGAAGGCATGCTAAGATGGCTGGAGAAATACTTTATGTACTCCTCCTTTTAAAGGGCGGCTGGGGTTTTTAGGGGACCCAATCGCCAAATCCTGGTGTGGAGAGTCATCATCCACCACCCTTTTAGTTCGGGCGCCACTGTAGAGTCATTAGGTGTTTTTTTTTTAAACAGGAGAAGTGAAAAATGATAAACGCCTTCGCCGGGAATCGAACCACGGACCTCTGGAATACGCGCCCAGCGTGCGAACTACCACACCACGAAGGCATGCCAAGAAGGCGGGAGAAATTCCTTATAATATCATGAAGAAGGAAAATAATTAAGAAGTGAAATAGAATAAAAAAATGAATTTGCTTCATTAGTGATTAGCTAACAACTTTGCTGTGAATTACTGACATTTAAGAGAACGGTGTTTGTTTAAATATTCAATACCTCTTAATGTTTAACTACGGTTATTTATTTGCCTATTTTTATAATCCTTTTTCTAACCTGTAGGAGATCTTTAAAGTTTCTTTGAAATAACTTTGTTGTATTGTAGTCAAATATTAATTGCGAATACTGCGCATGTGTTTTAGTTCATGTAACTCTTCAGTTTATTTTATTTCTTAATATTTAAATTAACTTTATCTTCAATTCCTGCAGGTTCATCCTCCCAAAGGAAGAACAGTCCATTTCTTTGGTGGTCCATAAATCTGCTTTTCAGACTCTACAGCGAATAGATCGCCTTGAGAGTGTTGTGGCTACCGTCAATATTTGTCATCCGAGGTGTGGAGATTTGGAAATATACCTTATTTCCCCATCTGGTACAATATCTCAGGTACTTACCAGAAGAACATACGACAACGAAACGACTCAGTTGCCTTATTGGGATTTTCTGTCACTTCACTTTTGGGGAGAAGATCCTGAAGGACGATGGACTTTGAATATTTCAAATGTTGGTAGTGATGAAATGGGGACGCTGGATTTTTTCTCGCTCACATTATACGGAACATCCTCCTGAAGTCCATCTGTTGTTATAGTCTATGAGGAAAACACTATAGAAACGCAAGTCCAGTGCTGCGACTATCATCACTGAGATGCATATTGGTTTTACTTGTCCAGTGTTCTGACCTCTGTATTTGCGGTCCATTTAATTTGTCCAGTTTAAGATTACTTACACACCGTGCCTGTAGATTTAGACTTTTTGAAAATTAATCCTCTTTTGGAAAGAGAAAGGCCAGCTATAGATTCTTAAGTTTGAAACAAATGAGTATAGTTCCAAAGATATTGTAATGTACCTCCCTTTTACTGTACTAAACTAAGTGTTGAGGAACTTCGTGAACTACTAAGCGAATAATTGCCCAAGTCCAGGAGCAGAAACGTAAACTCAAGAAGGGTTAATTACCCTTTATTTGCTCAAAATAAAGATTTACAGTTGCCCCCTTTGTCAGGGCGTACAACAAAGCCTCCACTTAGTCGTAAACTCAAAATGTGAGAAATAAGAACTAACTAATGTCTAACTAAAGCGATTTAGCCGAAACTGACATAATTCTAAACTAGTTGGCCTGTACTATTAACTTAGCTAGCGAAGCTATCAAAAGGCACGTAATACGGTCGAGCGTAGTAACAGTTAGGGAAACGTAGCCAAAGGCAAACACGCGCTACTTAGAGAGAGTCCTAACTATCTCTGTCGATGTCAGTGCAACTGTGACTTAAATACTTTCTACATCTCATTTGCATTTAACGCGATTCTAAAAACTCATTCTGGTAAGGAATTGTAAGCTGAAGCTAGAAGAGATGGGAAAGTGATATAAAATTAAAATAACTGTTACTAAATTTTAAAAATACCTTACAGTTTAATGATGAAAATTTGTGAAGGGTAGCTAGTTATGAAGTTACGTACAAACTACTATCTTGCAAATATTACAAATGGGGTTAAAGCTTTCACAAAAAATAATATCCACCGAAGGAACATCCATTGAAGTAAACAATAGCTAACTAGTAACTTATTAGTTCCACAACAATCAAAATAATGTGTCTTAAAATATTTGCAGCTTGCAATAAAAAACATCTTTTATGTAAACTGGCAACAATAAGAACCTCTATACAAATAATTATTTCAGTTGTTTATTAAAAAAAGATAACGAACTAATTTTGCTGTCAACAAACTCACGAGAAGTTAATTCTTATCGAACGTTTCAGTAATTTCCTTGAAGAATCTGACTCATGCCTAAGTTTAGCTCTTTAGAGAGTAGGTAGACAATGTAACTAGGTTGTCTAACAAAATATCAGTCACTTGTTAGTACAACCCACCTTTATTATACCTTCATAATTCCGTTTTCTTCCATATTACCTTATTATGTTTACTCTTGGAGTGAGTAAAACGATTCGAAACAAACAAACAGCTAAAGAAAACGGCAATTAAAAATTTAATTGGTTAGTTAAACTCAGTAGAAAAAATCAAACAAAATTCTTTCATGTTAAAAAGAAATAATAACGGCTTAGTATTATAATTCTTTTAACTGGAGGCTATTATTAAGACACAATAACACGCCGAACAAATACTAATTCAGAAGTCAATTGCGGTTTTACAGCTGAGGATGGTGGTTCGGTAAAACCATCGAAACTAGTCCTGTGAAAATTTCGAAAATATAACGCTGATTGTTGTTGTTTGACTTCTGAATTGGAGGCTATTATTTTTATTCATTTATCTCTCCGCTTTCATCGCCAATACTTTTTAAACACCTCTTTCTCTTCCTGAAATATCTAACATCAATTTTGATTTTTGCATTTAAAAAGAGACTTTCACTAAAAAAAAAACTGAATTTAAAAAATACATTTCAGGCAGAAAGTTTGAAAGGAAATAAAACAAACTTATTTAGGATTTGACCTAGAAAACCTTTATACGTCACGTGACACTATTAAGCAGAGGGAAGACGAATTAATTTAATTTATAGTGGTAGTTAGAAATATTTTGAGAAGGCGAATTAATGACTCATAGATCATTATAGTATGGATTACATCCTATAATTCCTGTAAAATGATCGAGCCTTATCTTAATAATGGCATTCTTATTACGAACTAAAAACCAATAAATTATAAAACTGCTTTTTTTGAATTAGAAATATAAATCCATAATTGAACTGCATCACTCTTAAAGAAATATACCTTTGTATACGAAATAATGCAGTATTTACTACAATAAACTTTCATCTTGTATTCGGGCTCACTTAAATGAGATGTTAGAATTTGGGTGACTGTAATTTCAAAGGAATAGCCCTCTTTTTTAATATATAATTTCAAGGAAAGTACCTATATTTTATGAAGGCTGTGAATCCAGAAGAAAACCGACCTCTAAAACAAACCGGAGGCTTCGTGCGAAAATCACCTGCTTCTGCATCTGTATTTTCCAAAAAGGTCATGGTTCAGGGCGAATCGCAGCTTCCGTTGTAACACTTAGTTGTATATTATTTATACTAAGAAAAATGAAATATTTAAAAAAATGATATTTTTTTGTTTATTTCATTAAAAGTGTGATTTTATAAAATAATAATGCAATACATCCCTTCTAAAATAAATTGTCCTTGATTTAATGCGTTTATAATTTTTTCACAAACATGGTGTTTACATTTATTCCATTAATGACTCAAAACCTAACACTGGCATCAATAGTAGCATACTCAGCATTTAATTCAGTTATTGCAATACAATTTTTTTAGTCCAAAGGGCAATTCGCCCTGAAGGACTATTATTTTTGTTTTGTCATTTTGCGTCGGTTCACTATAAATGTCCGATTCACTTTTCAAATTGTTGCCACCAAATATTATCGCCCTGTATTATATTCATTGTTAAAGTGTTATATCCATTGTTATTGTGCCCTTCATTGTTGAAGGAATTAAGCAATGAAGAATCTGCATAAATGTATGCATGTTTCTCGCACTGTGATACAACAACGGTGCCTAGAGCCATCCGATTTTCAATAACGTACATTTCCACCCGAATATGGGCATCTGGAAGCGCTAATTTGGAATTTGTTTTTAGTCCAAAGGGGCTTTGTTCTGAGGGACTATTGTTTTCGTTATGCAATTTTGCGTTAAAACACTATAAATGCCTGTATCACTTTTCAGACTGTTGCCACCAAATATTATCTCGCTGTATTATATTTGAAGAAATTAAATACTGAAGAATCTGCATAAATGTGTATATTTCTCGCATTGTGATAAAACAACGGTACATAGAGCCAACCAATTTTGAATGACGCAATCCTACTGAGAATATGGGCATCTGAAAGCCATTTCATATTTTGTAAAACTTTAACGAATTTTTGATTAACAAACTCGAGGATTTCAAAGCGAGCAATGGCAACGTTGTACAGAAAAAAATATTATTATCTCCAGCGCGTGAGACTGCGTATCAGAAATTCTAAAGATAGGCTCATTTTAAAATTATTTTGCGACATTGCTATTGAACTAATTTTTTGTTTGTTTGTTTTGTTTTAAGTGCAAAGAACATGCTATTTAATAAATAAAGGTAACACACAAAATGTTAAAAAAACGACCCTTTGGACGTAATTTAAAATCTGAAACCTTTCAGATTTTTTTTCGGGTTATTTTAATAAATTTCGAACTGTCATAACGCTTTTTAAATGATTTTTTTTTCTTTAAGAAGCTGCTGTGTTTAAAAATTTTAAACTTGTATAAAAATTAAAATAGTATTTCAAAATCTCCTTCATCGGATCTTATTCTTTCCTTCAGCAACTATATTCAAGCCGAAAGTGTTAAAACAAGATATTTAAGCTTAAATATTTTTTTTAACTTACGGCTTCATCTTAATTATATGGATGAACGATTTTGTATGGGAACAGGAAATGGGCGATTTTGGAAGAAATTAAAAATCATTTTTCCCATATGCTATAGTTGTATAACAGTCAAGTCCCGCTTTCTACTCTGTGCAAAGTACAAATAATTTTCAACGATTCTTTTTTCCCTTGTCTTCTCCTACTCATAATTTATATACGGATTCTATATCGAACTCGAAAAATAGTTGATTAAATTTTAAATGAAAGTTAACATTTAAATTTTTGAAGTTGTTTTCTTTTCCTTTATGTATATAGATATATATGTGAGAAAATATAAACTGCTATGATTTTGGAAACTTATGTACTTCTCTTCCATTAAAAGGAATATTTAATAGACTTCTTGAACTTCCAAAACTTGTCCTACAATTCTCACTATTCTAAACGGAAAAAAAATTGAAAAATGGAATTTTCCACTATTTGGCAATAAAATATTTAAACAAGTATATCATGTATACCAATGAGAGCTCATATATCTACGAGTATTTCTAATCTCTCTCTTTTTTTTTCTTTTTGGTTCAAGAATTTAAATTTTAAAAAACAATTAAACAAGAAAATTTAATTTATTATGAACGAACTTTCAGATACAATGATGATCCCATCACTTTTAATAACTTTAACAAAATAGAAAATTCCCAGATTTGTTCCGAAAGCCTCATTCCTAATAAAATCAATTCTTCACAAAACGTCATCGAATTTCTAAATCTCCAAATAGTTAACTACACACAGATAAAACTCTATGACAAAACCAGGAACTTTAAATTTGCATCTAATAAATTAATTAATTGGACTTCAAACATTTCCAGAAAATTAATTAGTAACACAGTCATTAGTCAAATACATCGAATCAAAAATATGTATGAATGATACACAGATATTCAAAACTAGATATTAATACTTATTCAAGTTCTTAAAAATAATTTGGTACCAGGTAAATTTATTAATTACTGTCTTAAGAACGCAGGCGTTGAACACTCAATTTAAATCTGTACATACATCCATACTTTTAATATAAAATAAAAGAATGTATTAATTTTATTTTACTTTTAATATAGAGTTTAAATCTAATGTATTAATTTGTATATATTTCTATTAATACCTTCTTCTGTATATATTAATTAGTATAGCTTTCAATGGTTTTTTATTTATTTATTTGTTGTTTTTACAATATTATGAGAGGGTCAGGGAACGTTTTTTCTAAAGTGAGTCTCTCGTTTAATTTAGTTCTTAACGAGTACCTTAAATTAAGAAGAATATATTACTCATTTTTATTTTATATTTTGTTTATGGAAAATGTTATGACTTAAACAGACTTCTTTCTAATAATAGAAGTTTGTTCATAACTTATATTCTAACTCTGTAAAATAATTAATTTGATTCGTACTTGGAAAAAAGAAGAAACACTCTCATTTAATTTGGTTATTGTTATTTGATGGTGGATTGTTTTGTTCCCCTTGACAAGTCAATTAATCTACGATCAATAACAATAGCTACCTCTTCAGTACTTTACATTTTACTTTTTATTTTTACTATTTAAAAATTTTATGCTTCAAAATACTATTTCTATATAGATTTTAAATAATTTTTACTGCAATAAAAACCTAAATAACTTTAATAATATTGTGGGATACGTAGGAAAGAAGACACCATTTATTTTTAAGTCATGGCCCAGATAGCCGTAGATATTGCTGGCATACAGATAGGATACGTAACAGCGTAACAGACGAATGGAATTTAGGACCAAAAGCAGCTTCGGATTCACCACATAATTTTATTTCCCGATGAATAATTTCTTAGGACATATATTCTTGGTTTACACATGCCTATGGGTGCGACAGGCATCCCCCAATTCTATACACACCACATTTCGAGGCAATGGATTAAACGGAGAAGTAAGCAACGCACTTTAGCACAGAGAGAGGAAGTTAGTGTGCATTTATAGTATTGAATTCCTTGTTTAAATTATGGACTGCGATTCGACAAGATCTTACTGCATTGCAGATGACAGAAAGCAGTTTATATTTCAGGAAGGGCATGTAGCTAAATTAAACTAAAAAACTGAAAGGACTATTATTAAATCAAAGTTATTAATTTTCTTTCACATTTCAAATCTTTTATATATATGTATGCTATCATATTTCATTCAATATGTAATGTTCTAATCAGCTTACAGTTCATTCTATGGTGGTTTTAATATAGTAATATTTTCTGATTTTAATGAATAAATGTTTTTGCTTCGGCAACTAAGTTTCTGCACAAAATTGTAATAATACTTAAATAATCTTAAGATGAACATATTATTTACCTCCTAAATACCCATGCATGTAATAATTTTGAGTGCTAAAGTGTACCCTTCATTCTGTTTATCGAATGAAGACAGAATAATCGTTTGCGTTCACCTAATGGACGAAAATAACTTTTATCTCCCTTACCATGAGCTTATCGTACTTCCGGGAAGTGATTTTCCATCACGGGAAAACAGTGATCACATTAGTGGTAGATGATCGTATTTAAAACGTTAAGTGGAATCAGGTATGAGAAGCTGTTGATCTCATATATAGTTCCGCAGTATGCAAAATTTAGAGAAAAAAAATACGACATTATATTTATTTATTTATTCAGGATTAGCTTTGCCATCCTGAATAAATTTTATATATATATATATTGGCTTGGATAAG